CTGAGTTGTCTTGAGTCGCTCAGACTGCAAGTGGGAACATGCAGTCTCCTATAAGGCTGTTTCAGTTTGGTAAACTACTTTGTATGCACAAAATATCTCACTCCAAAACTACTTGTAATAAAAGCTGCTTGCTTCAGAAATCCAAACAAAAAGTGATACCAACAACCTGTGGGATGAGATTGCTCGAGTGACTTGCCCTTATTTCAATCTTTAGGATTATCACGTGTGTCCTTCCGTCTTTGCAGACGAACATACCTGCAGTCCCCTCTTCCACAGAGGATTTTGGTAGAAATCGTATAAGTTTAGATAAGTGTATAGTTAGTTTAACAGCCAAGCTGTTGTGCACTAAAAAGTGAGATGAAAGCAGGTGAAGCGTTGGGCCCTGGCAGCTTGGCTTGTTCTCAGCAAACTGAGCATCTGTCCTGGAGAAACCGAGGACAAAGCACCTTCCTCGGGCCCTGTTCGATTCCTTCCTAACTCCATACTGACCCTGGGTCGCTGGGCCGGCCTGCTTGTCTTTTGGAGCTAACCATGTTTTTACAGTGTTACTCCAATGTGTTAAAGAAAACATAGCAAGAACCTTACTTGAAAAGACACCAGGGGCTTGGCTCATCCCATCAAGTGATAATCGGGGGTTGAATTTTAAGCAAACGTTCTCTAAGCTGTTTGTTTGTACTGGAAAGCCCTTTGATTTTTTTAAGGAGAAACACTGACACATTTTCCTCAGACCACCGTACATCTGTGCATGAGACTTAGCCTGAGAAATAAAGGAGAAGCCTTATTGTTCTGTGGCCAAAACTGGGTTCAGGAGAATATTTAGATCAAACTGTTAATTTGAGGAATATAGACAGTTTCTGTGGATTTAGCTGGAAACAGCTGTGGATGGTTACAGAGCTGTCACTCCAGGTTATTTTTCAAGTGCTTAGCACTGTAACCGAGTGCAGGAATCACTCACAAGTCGTCTGCTGTAGCTGGGGCTTCCAATCATTGTTGTCCAGGCCGAGGGATTGATCGGATCCCTCGGATAACACCGTTCCTGCTCCCCAGCTCAGGTGGCTGCCAGACGGCCCGAGGGCTTTGAAGGTGGTTCTGTGAAGAGCAAAACTACTGATGTCAGCACAGGCAAGAGGGGAGGAACTCGGGAAGTTTGCTCAAGGTACATCATAATTTTTCTGAAGTAAGTGTTTTTAGAAAGCGAATTAAAGTCACAGAAAATGCTGTTGAGGCCCAGTTGCGGTTCTTATTTTGCTTTGACCCCACTGCTGCTATAACCGCAGGCTGATATTACTGAGTAATAGCCAACAGATTTGAAATGGGCAAATATGAATCATATGGATGGTCTTTGAATTCTGTTTTGCTGGAAGGAAAGTAGTATTAATAGCCCTGGTTTTGTAAAAACTTTAGCCACAGCCCTCAGGGCTTTTATTCTTCATTTGTGTCATCTTACCCCTCTGATACCAGAAGTCAATCAACCTTCTACTGCAGAATATTCCCGAGGAACTATTCGCTTTATTTGTCTGGCAGTGGAAGCGCATGGATGTTGTAAAAGGCTGATGCCACATCTGGACTCCAGCTTTCGGCTGGCCAGCAGAGCTAGTGCTGCTCTAAACTCTCTTTAGAAAGAACGAGTAATTGCAGCCTGTAATTGCAGTTTGTAAAAATAATATACAATTACGTTGAAATGCGGTATGCAGAAATAATAAACAGCTAAATTTAATTACTGTCTTGGTCACTGTATTCACAAAATGCTTGAAGATGAAATAAAAATAGTGAGTTTTTCCAAAGTGAACCGAGCAAGCTAGAACATGCAACAAGTTAGTGGAAGATTCTCTCTAAACTCTCCCATACAGTATTTTTGCTAGGAGGATTCCCAGGACACAGGAACTGGCAGGGCCCCATCACAGTGCTCGTGTGGAGCTTTCTCTGGCTGCTTTGGCAAATGCCTGTACAGCTCATTGCGCCTTTGTGTCATTATTTTAACGACGAACCCAAGAAGGCTGCTGGATCTGGCAGATGTTCGTCTGGCGTCGCTATTTCCAGCAATTTGGGTATATTCCCTGGCACGCAGACTGCAGAAAGGGTTACTTGATTTCATGGCAAGATGAGTACACAGAGCAGGGCATCACTGCTGTTCACTGGCCCCTTCTGTTATTAACATTTATCCCAGGCCTGGGCCTGGATTTTTCGGTATGCATCCCCAGCCTATAGAGCAATGAGGCCATATTCAACCTGGTGGTATCACTTCCATTGCTGATGCTCCCAGGACCAGGCCAGCCAACCCGAAGGGGATGGATGCACTTTCATTGCTTTCACCCTAGCAAGAAGTCATATACTGTCCTCTGTCTCCCAGTACAAGATTTAGTGAAGGTGTCTCAGTTGAGACCTCTGGTTTATGTAAGTGTAGCCCAGAGCACTGCTCAGGAGAATCAGTAACGTGTGCCAGTGAAATAGCATATAATAAGATAGGAAAATGGCAGTGATGATGATTTTCATAGAACCTTTTTGGTAATTCTTGAAGGCTCTTTCCTAAGATGGTGGAGTGGTTTCCTTCACTTTCCTATATGCCACAGCAAGTAAACTTAAAAAATAAATAACTTGCAGAAAACCTGTGTGTGGGGAAAATCAGGGAGCTGCTGTTTGTCCAGGGACAGATAGCCAAATAGATGGTTCTTCTATGCACCTGTTAATTTACAAAAAGTAATAGCAGTGATACTTGAATTCCCAAGCTTGATTTCTTCATACTGCAGCTCTGCTTTAATTGTGCTTACCTAGTAGTAGTATTATTCTTTTAACTGTAAGAGCATTATTGGCTTGAAACTGTTGTAGTAGATGAGATGATCAGGACAGCTCTTTATTTTGTAAAGGAATATTCGAGTTTATGAGAATATTTACCTTTATTGCACAAAATATCTTATTTCTAGACAAGTTAGTGTTTAGATAAGAACAACATCTATGCTGTTAACCCTGGAAGATGCCAAACTTGGCAAAGACAGCACAGTTTTGTTGCTGAGCGCAGTGTGGCCAGAGGAAGTGCTGCTTTTTGCCAAAATCTGCAGGCTGCTGTTGGTTTCCTCAGGGTAGGACCTGTCCACGCCACATCTGGAAACCAGCTGTGGAGGGGAGCAGAAGCAAGGGGCGCTGTTTCCAGCGGGCGGGCTTTTCTCTGGCCAAAACATTCAGCAGCAAACCTGGAGTTTGTTTTCTGCATGATGGATGTCTTATTTCCGTGAGACTGCTGATATCATTATGTTTATTCCAATGTTAATTATTTCTCATCAGCTTCAAGAAGGGCAACTGTGCTATCTGTAGAAAGGCTGCCCTTGTAAAAATAAAAACACACGGGAAAAGCAGAGTATTAGCAGAGCTCTGAGCTGCCACTCAGCATGATGGCTCAGGGCAGATCGGAAGGAAACCTTCGTTCTTTGACTTTTTTTTTTTTTGCTGCTTGTAAAGAATGCAAAATAGCAATGAAGCTGGGAGTTGTAAGAGCGTATTTTCAAAATTAACTTAATGCCTTAATGGAATTCAGATTTTGTCTTTGCAAACGTAGCACCATTTGTTTTATTTTTATATTGTTTTCAAAGTAATCTTAAAAAGATCTGGGGGGAAAAAAGTCCTGCTTATGTTACTGTTTGCTGTCCAAGGACTCTGTTCTTATTTTTGTAAGTATTTGTAGCGTTTATGGCATATCCAGAAAAGCAGGATTCTGAGGTTGCTATCATTTCTGTTGTCTAATGCGCATATGGGTGGGAATTTCTGCTGTGTACATAGTTCTTTTTGCATCAAATTGCAGTTAATATGTAGTTACATCCTACTGCTGCAAAATATTAGTGTGCTGTACTATATTTTAGCAAACCATAAAAATGCAGAAGGTCTAAAGGACTTGAAAGCATTAAAAGGAAGCTATTGTTCAACCAACTATAGTTTTCTGTCATCTTGTAACTTGTAATAAATGCAAGATGTTGGAGGGAGAGGAGCCAAATATTAGTGTGGTCCCTAAGAGACCAAACAAATAATGGAGCTACTTAAATTTGTCATTCTTCTGTCATGATTACACTTAAATCTAAAATGCGTGCAGATGTTTTTCTGTGTGGATAGATTCCGTGCTTGCTTCTGCTTTTGGTTTATTGGAGGCTGTGAAATGTTTCCAGTCAAGCCCCTGTTATCGTGGTTCTTTTTCGGGAGGTCTCCTCGGTTCGAGCGGAGCGGGTGCCCTCGTGGTGTCAGGGCCTCACACCCAGGCGAGGGAGGACGAGAGCAGCGAGCGCTGCTCCTGCCCAAGCTCCCCTTGAGCCTTATCCAGCCTTACCTCGAGTTGTGTTTTGTGTGTCAGCTTTGCCTAATCCTTCATGCCAGTATGTGTTTGCTCTGCCCGTCAACTGTCTAAAGCTGTAGAAGGGTGTGTTTTATATATCCAGATAGACTCTAGGAGGACATGGATGCCTTATTTTTTTCCTGCAGGATTTCCTAGCAGTTAGATCATTTGGGATGGAAAGTAAATAAAATGTTAAGCTGTGATTACGTTGTTGAGGTAGAGCTTTCATAAACTATTAAATCAGTGCAGCAGTGGTAGCAGAGTACAGCTTTTGAATGGAGATTGGCGTCTCTGTGAGCTGGCGGGATGGACGTGCTGAGGGAAGATGGTGCGGAGATGAGATGTACTCTGGTGTTTTAGGTGTCAGTGCTTCTTGGTGCCTAATGCTGTGGAAAGTTCACCAGACCAACAGATAAGAGTTTGTGCCCTTTTATTAAATGTGGATGTTATAAATTATGCAACCCCAGCGCCATGCTGGTGATGTGACTGGTGTCCTACAGATTCATGACTTGCTGATTGCTCTTGTAACCAGTTACCCCCAGTGTTGTCCCACAGGTGGGACTTGTCGTGTCAAGAGTTTTGCCTGCTCAGGGACCCTTTTGGAAGAGCTCTCTGAGGAGCTGAGATGCCAACTGTTTATTTTTAACCTCTGATGTCTTTCTCTCTCTTCCCTCCCTTTTTCCAGAGGCCTTTGAGTCTTTGCTTCGCTTGGCAGAGAACCGCACGAGTTCCCTGTTTGAGGCCGCCTACAGACCCATGGCCAAGGAGGCCGCGGAGCCGGTCAGGGAGCTCTTCACAGACCTCTCCCTCTACATCCTGGGCGCAGAGACTACCGTGGAAAGTGCAGTCCTGCGCTTCTTCGACAGCCTCTTCCCTTTGGTGTACAGCCGCCTAATAAACCCCGGAATCACAGATTTATCGGAGGACTACACGGAGTGTCTGCGGCTTACGAGGCAGGACATAAACCCCTTCGGCCGCTATCCCAAGAACCTGGTTACGGAGCTGTCCAAGTCCCTCTGGGCCAGCAGGATGCTGAGCCAGGCCCTCAGCCTGGGCATCGAGGTGATAAACACAACGGAGCACGCGGCGCTCACCAAGGAGTGCAGCCGGGCGCTGGTGCGGATGCAGTACTGCCCGCACTGCCAGGGCCTCACGCTCATCAGGCCCTGCGTGGGCTACTGCCTCAACGTGATGCGGGGCTGCCTGGCCGGCGTGTCGGAGCTGGACGCGCCGTGGAGGGAGTACATCTCCACGCTGGAGTTCCTGGCCGGCGAGATGGCCGCCTCGCACGACCCGGAGGCGGCGCTGGCGGGGATCCGCAACGCGGTCAACGAGGCCGTCCTGCACGCGCAGCTCAACGGGCCCCAGCTCTCGGCCACGGTGAGTGCTCTCCCCGGGGCTGCTGGCCCTGGGTATTTGAGGAAGAAACACTGGACAACTCTGTTCCTTTTAGTTTTGTTTTTGTTTTCTGTTTTGTTTATGCGTTCGATAGCCTCCAGCCAGATCCTGGCTAATAGTCGGTGACGATATTACAGGTAATTATGGTGGGATTCGCTAGAACCTTCTTGACAGTGGAAGAAACAAAATTGGCTTGCTCGAGAAGCAACCGTGCCAAGTAGATAGCCCTGGCTTCTTTGTATATATACAAAACAAAAATTGGCATGTACTGTAATTGATACCAGCAGTGTATTTTTGTACTCTAAAGCCTATGTATTAGCAGTCTAAGAGCTGAGCTCCTCTGATTTGGGAGCATTTGCACTATGTGTGAGGGTATCCCATGATAGGGATGGCAAGACACACATTTTTTCATATTTTTAGTAACTTTATTTTTATGCTGACTATTGAGACACCAGAAAGGGAATACAGGCCTTTGTAACTTTTGTAAGTGTGTAAACTTACAAAAGCTTTTTCCTTTAGTTTTGCCCTTCCTTGCCTTTTTCCTTACAAAAATGGAAAAGTGGGGAAAAAAACATGAAAAATCTTCATTATCAAATGAAGATTATCAAATTTGATTATCATAATCAAATGAAAAGACTGTGTATCTTTTGTCTGTGGTAGGGTTTGGAGGACAGAATTACGATAAACTAATGTCAACTCATAGCTGATGGGTTCTCTCAAGATGCTGAAGATTAGAAATTGTTGAAATGACTAATAATTCATCTGGCTGTATCCATATGAAGCTCAACATAATTATCAATAGGAAAAACGCAGCAGTTTGGCCCCAAACAGGATTGAGACTAATGTGAGTGTTCTGACTGCCTGGAAAACCAAGGAGTTTGTGCAGAGAACAAATGAGAAGGTAACAAGAAGGAATTAGGAACTCTGGTCACTGAATTATGTAAGGAAAAAAAGTACTGGAAAGACTCTGAAAAAGGTATAATTGAAGGTGTTCTAACTAGGGAAGCGCTTTGTTGGAAGAAAATGCCTCTAGTAACCTTCAAAGATGTCAAACATTGCACCTCTCTCCAGTTTATAAGGGCTGTCAGTCAGTATGTATGGAGAGATGGAGAAAAACCCTTTGGTAACCTGATCGAAAGAACTTTCCCTGGGAATTTGCAGTGAGCATCTGAGTTCATGTGGCCTCAAGTGCTCCATTCTTTTTGTCGGTGATCTTGAATCTCTTAGCATATCTGACATCCAAAGATAAACTGAAACATTAAGCCAAGATTTGCCTGCTTGCATGTAGAGCATGATTATCGTTATTGGGATAACGATAATATATAATATCCTATATAATATAGGGATATTGCACAGTAGCCTTGGCGAATAGGCACATCAGAGAGCAGTGGCTCCTTGGTGGCACTGTGGACTCAAGTGCCACATTCGAGGTAAGAGCCAACCTTATGGGTGCCAAACAAATACTCTGAAATCTGTTCTACCTTTTACCCCATGAGGCTGTTTTTGTGAGATTCTAGAAGGAAAATGAAAATCAGAATGTTTTCTGTCTCGTAAGATATACAAGCTATCAGTAGTATCAAAGACTGGCAATAGATATTTCTCAAAATCATGGCAGTGCCCTGGTACTATTGACACACAAGTTATTAGGAGTGAACTTAAGCTCCTTGTCTATTCACAGCAAAAATGATCTATAATGCACTACATGTTGCAAAATCCTAAGGCTTTTTTCTCATCACATTTTCCATCCTTGTAATTAGTATGTGCTTACTTAGCTTGCTTATGTACAGTAAGTACTCAGATAATTACAGGTGAAATCAGTGAGTATTTTGCTTTTAGCTGATTTGGAAGCAGAATTGCCCTGGAAACTTTTTTGAGTTGAGCAGGTTCTTTAATTGTTATTTAAATCATTTGCTTAGGTCTCTTCTGGCTCCTCTGTGTTTAAATTTAAGCATTTTCCTTCTCCCATTCAGAGAATTCAACATAACTGCTGCATTTGAAGTCCCATTAATTCTTTGTCCCCTGCACCCCACCCAGTTCTTTCTGTTTTCTTTCATTAGCGACATCTTTATGCACAAAAAGACTGTGTTATTTTAGTGACTGCTCTGTGGGATAGCAAAGGATATTTCCTGGTTGAAAATGGAAGCTCTGTGCCAGTTTGCTGTCCTCAACTGAGCTGCTTCCTCTTTCAGATTCCTGCAGGGTAAGATTGTGCTTTGTAGACTGAGCACGTCCCCCTGTTTGAGCAACCGCTCAGTCTCAAATTGATTTAAATTTTACTGATTAGTTGCAGAGAGTATTTAGACAGTTGAGCCTAATTAAACTGTATTTCCTTCTCTGGAAAAAATGGTAAAGAGTTAAATAAATCTACAGATTTAGGATTTTAAGAGTTAGGGCAAGTTGAAATGTTTCTTTAAACTGGGAAGGGGTGAAATAAGAGAAGAAGGTACTTCTCTGTGTGTGTTGCTTAAATGAGCGCCTTCAATCACTATGAAGATTGATAGAAGGGGAGACTGTAACAGATATGATCAGAGATCAAGTTTTAGGAGAAGGTAGGAAGATCTGTGCCCTAAGCCAACCCCAAACATACCAATTAAATGATGGAAAGCAATGTAGCAAAAATAACTACAATTTTAAAAATTTTCACATGGTTTTGTTAAATCATCATGAATGTATTTATTTTGAAATTGCTTCTTGTGGTCACAGTACAGAAGCAGCACTGAGGAATGCCAAGCTTATCACATTTGGAAGGCAGAAGTGCCCTGGCACAAATGCAATGAGACCGTTACCGGGCGAATATGGGAGGTTAATGGGGCGTGGAGGTTGATATCAGAGATAACAGAAATAAAGCATTTGCTTTCTGCTGCGCATTCACTGCTCAAAAGCTGAGTTATGTTTTTTGAGGGCAAAAATGAGCTTGATGATGACATGAAGAAGAAGCCAGATAGGATTATTACGAGGGAATGAGACATTATAAATTTGGATCGGCTTCTATGAACGCTTAAGGGCCTGGGGCAGAAGGACTTGTCACTAACGAGAATGATTAGAATATTAGGGATGTGCAAACTGCATTTACAGTCCAAAATTTACAACATGCCAAACTTTAATTTTAAATTATACTAAACTTGAACTTCCTAAGGTTTTTAGGAGCAGGAGGAAGACTTTCCCCTGGGTCAGTAAGGCTGCCTGTTAGTAATATGGCAAGGCGGTGTTTTGTTAGCGCAGTTGCTTTGCAGATCAGTTTGGAGAAGCCAAGCCTTGCCCAGGACACTGTCTGCTGTTATTGGAGGTATTTAGCCTATAGGTGCATGTGAGTGATGGTGATGGGCTGGGAGAGAGTCGGGAGGCACCAGGGAGTCTTAGCAACAACAAAAAGACTCCATTTCTGCAAGCCCTGAAAAAGAAGCTGGTGGCTGAGTCTGATGATATTCTCATGAAATAGGATAGCACAGCAGCATGCGGCTGAAAAACAAAGCCAGGTGGCTGAAGAAGTCTGTTCAGTGATACATTGAAAAGAGAGGTACAACTGGAAATCAGGATTTTTACCATAGCTCATGGTACTGACAGCTCCAATGGCATCTAATTTTTAGGCAGATCTGAGGACAGACTTTCAGTGCCCTAATTTAGGGGCACACCTGGCCCAGCTCTGAGCATGGCCTTGGCCAATTAGGAGTTGCAAAGCTTTGTTTAATGAGGCATTTAGCTGGGACAAACGATGCCTGCTAGGAGGCAGGGAATGGTACCTTTGGCCCTGAAAAAGCAAGCTCTGTAGCTGTTTGCTGGGTCCAGTCTGAGCAGAAAGGGGCACCTGCTTGTGAGAATATCCTGGTGTTGCCTGAAATGCCATGTTCCTGCTGTGAACTTGGGCTAGGACTTCCTGAGGGAAAGAACATTTGGAAAGAAAATGAAAATATTGCCCCCAAAATCCTGCTAGAAATTCACCAGTTAATGAAAGGCTCAGGGAAAATAATTCAGCTTTTCTGAAATCATTAGGAACGGAAAAGAAAAAAAAAATCCTGAAAAAATAAGCAGCGTTGTAAAAATGGTCACC